GACCATGACTCTGGGTCAACCGATGTCATGCAGTTACTGGCTGATGTCGTGAACATTTTCAATACCTTGCGTGTAATGAAAACGGTGATTTGTGTGTTGTGTATCATGGTCATCATCTTATTATTGTAAATGTAAACCCCGTAAAAACCCCTGCGTTAATATGTATCCATTTGTTAATGTCTTGAAGAAGTACTATCTTGAACAAGTAAATGCATTGTCATCGTTGTTATGTAAACGCTGCACGTTGTTAGTAATTATCATACTACTTTTTATATAACTGTGGAAGTTGTCTTGTACATATTGTTCATAGTTTATGTTTGAAATGTATTAATCAACTGTGTTCTAATGTTAAAATATATGTCCTCTCACATTAGTGTAATGACTGCAACACGGTCATCCCCTCGCACCCCGTCTAAGAATAAAGGGGTTGGCCCATCAGGTACCGAAGGCATTGTTGATGGCTTAGATAATGCACATAAGGCGAACTGGGACAGTGTAGCAACAGAAATCTTTTTACAGTGTGTTAGGGACGCAATATTAGCGGGTCGTCGGGTAGGTACAATCATAACCAGAACAGGGTATAACGAAATCGCACTGAAATTCGCTAAGCGCACGGGTAGACGTCATGACATTACACAGCTTAAGAACAAGTACAACAGTTTGAAAAAGGAATGGCAGGCCTGGATCAAATTGATGGATACCAGTAAGGGTGTGACTGGTATTGGGTTTGACAAGGACACCAAGTTGTTCACAGCGTCGGAGGAGTGGTGGGACAATCTCAAATCGGTATGCACGAACATATATTTTATTGTACGTAATAAGCAGCCCCTGTAATTTTGTACACACATGTAATTTTGTACTTGCATTTCCCATTTGTAGACAAACAAGCTCGCTTACAAGTTCAAGACAAAACCATTGGAGCATGAAGATTTGATGCGCGAAGTATTCACCGGTGCAACTGCCACTGGCAAACACCATTGGACGCCCGGGGAGAAGGTTGTAGATGCTAGCGAAGGTGAATCCGACTCAGTGGACTCTCCTGGGTTGGTACCATTTACCGAGCCATACAGACCAGTCGTTAACTCCCCTCCAAACTCCCCCACCGTCCACCTTGACAAAGTAGACCCCAGGACAAAGAGGAAAAATGGAGGTAGCAATAGTGGAAAGTCAAAGAAGGTCTCTACTGGAGCATCGGTTCTTGCGGATAGTTTTAACCATCTGTCTATGGCGATTGAAACACAGAAGCACCTAACGGTCAGGCACGGAACTGGTGCATCGCAGAAGTATGGCATTGAGCCATGTATGCAGCGGCTTATGGCTATCCGAAACTTCATCAGCACCCCACTGTTCCATTTCGCCTGCACTGCATTAGAGAACGCGAATTACCAAGAAATATTCATGTGCATGCCAGATGATGAGAATGTAGTCGGTTGGCTTGCGGCATTACAGGTTTCAAAAGGCCTGTGCGTACCTTGGTTTGGTCTTTCACGCAAAAATGGGACGTCTTTGGTTTTCATGTACTTTTGTGTTTTTTGTGGACTAGTTTTGTGGGTCTTTTTTGTAAGTTGCTTTGTTTTTTCCTATGGTTTCACAGTGATGTATGTAAAAAATATATGTATAAAGAGAAAACTACAGAGAATAAATGTATCTGATGATCTTATTATTGATTAATATTGATTGATTTTCTGTCTATTACAAATGGTTCCTTATATAGATGTAGGTGTAGTGGATGGTGGTAGTGGTGTAGTGGGTTAGGTTTAGTGGAGTAGGTGAGGTGGTAAGAAATATTGATGTGCATGCCAGATGATGAGAATGTAGTCGGTTGGCTTGCGGCATTACAGGTTTCAAAAGGCCTGTGCGTACCTTGGTTTGGTCTTTCACGCAAAAATGGGATGTCTTTGGTTTTCATGTACTTTTGTGTTTTTTGTGGACTAGTTTTGTGGGTCTTTTTTGTAAGTTGTTTTGTTTTTTCCTATGGTTTCACAGTGATGTAGTTATTGGTACTTTACTTTTGTGGACGGTACGTTCTTTTGTCTTGCGCATTATGGGATGATGTTGTAACCTTTATTTTTGGGCATACTTCACTTTAATGGTTGCATGTAACGTAATGGCAAGTATGGCATTGTTCCAATTTTATGGTTGAACGTTACTGGTCCAAATGTGCTTAGTTTACAACTGGATAATTGATTTCTGTGTTGTGTGCATTGTAGGAGTCATCAACGAATAACGTGGAAAGGTCAAAGCAGTAACTATAGAAATTACGATGATGTAATCATCGAACTCGCAGAGAAAGAAGAAAACCTACAAAAAAGTGTAATCGATGATACTGCGCAGCATGCAATGGAATATTACCTAAAGTACATGAAGAAGATCCCATGCCGAATTTCTATTCTGACCAGTCGTGCATGGATTCAAGAATTGTTTGATGGGCACATAGGCAAACGTGAACAAAATTTGCATATGCCGCTGTATGTGTTTCAAGCGTTGTGTGACACATTGCGAAGCGACTTTAGGAATGATCCCATGGATTACACATTAAAGAAAGTGTTGCGATGTTCATCCATACGTTGGACGGATGCACAAACCGAAAACTTTAGGAATGATTCCAACACTCGGGAGAAACTGTGTCGTGACATTTCCATGTAGTGTTGGAAGCGATGAAGTTTTTCATAGAAGTGCATTGCAAGCCCACCAGAGATCAAAATAATAGGCATCTATATTTGCGATCCAGAGGAAAATACGTGCCTTTCAAGGTTAGCATATTAGTTGCGGTTATCGGTTAATTTTGATTTTATGTGACGTACGTAAATCTCATGTCATGTACGTTATTGGTGCAGCATTGTATAGCAGCGTTGGATGGTACTCATGTAGAAGTCCTGTTGCCTTCCCGTGATGCCGACACATATTACGGTCGCAAAGGATATCCAATCCAAAACATACTAGCAGTATGCGACTTCGACATGTGCTTCATTTTCATATCTTGTGGTTGGGAAGGAAGCACGCATGACAGTCGCATATTTAACGAAATAATAGGGAATGAACATGCACCGTTCCCGCACCCCCAAGAAGGTAACACATTTGAATTTAAGTACTCAATTATTTATTTTGTTGAAAATCTTTAATTGATTGACCAAATGTAGGTAAATATTACCTTGTGGATACGGGATATGCAAACAAGAAGGGGTATTTGGCACCATACAAAAAATCCCGATATCACCAAGTAGAGTTCCGAGATCACGGACGACCTGATAATCCAAGAGAATTGTTTAACGAGGCGCACGCATCATTGAGGAGCGTGGTGGAAAGACCATTTGGAGCATGGAAATCACGGTGCAGGTGCCATTGGTTGGTGTGTCAATGGCCTTACACAATTTCATCCGTAGGCACGAGATAGCTACTAATGCACACAACGAACATGTCAGCTGTTCCTCTGTTCCAGATGACATGCCTGCCGCGGAAGGCGGACAAAATATGGATGATGGCCTCATGGTTGGAGATACGGATGTAGATATGGCAAGAGTTCGCGTGCGCACCCGTGACCATTTGTTTCACATATGGAGTCAAGGACTATTGTGAAATGCTTGTTATCTAGCTTATGTGTTTGTGTAATTTGTAATTTGTATTTCCGTAGCGGCTTATGTATGCAGCGGCTTGTGGGACTATTGTGAAATGCTTGTTAAGGACTATTGTGAAATGCTTGTTATCTAGTGAAGGACCATGTGTGCAGCGGCTTATGGGATTGTAACAAATTATTTAAATTAGTAATTCGTGTATGGAGAATCGAAGTATGTTGCAAATTTACATTTTTTTGAAGTAATACATCTAATTCAAATAAAATGAAAAATTAAAATAAATTGTCAAAATTAAATTTAATATGTGAAAATTAAAATAAAGGAAAAATTAAAATTAAATTAAATTTTATATGTGAAAATTGAAATAAATGAAAATTACCAAAAAAAAAATAGTTGACAAAATAAATGAAGAATTAAATTTAAAATAAATGAAAAATTAAAATAAATTTTATATGTGAAACCAAAAAATTTGAATTTATCAAAAAATAAATGAATGGAGAATGAAAATCAATTAAAAAATTGAATTTAATAAATTGAAGCACAACACAATAAATAAATTGAATTTATCAAAAAATAAAAAAATAGTTGACAAATTAAATTTTAATTCGAATAAATGAACAATTAAAATAAATTTTATATGTGAAAATTAAAATGAATGCTGACAAACAAATTGTTTTTATTTTCTGGAGAAATAGTTGTAATTTTCAATTAAATAAAAAATATCATTAATTTTAGTATGGCAATTTTCAATGAAAAATACAATTTTTATTTTTAATATGAAAAATACAATTTTCAATTGTTTGCACCATGTGATAATTGCTTCGTAAATGTAGCCACGTGTCCACGCAGATTTCAGTTTCTAATGTGGGAAGAATGGTGGCCACGTGGCCATTACCAAATATGTGCAATTAAATATTTAATAGGGGTAATTTGGTCAATTTATATTTCACTATCATTTCAAATATATTTTTCAATACAATAAGGCCTCGTTTGGCATAACCTATATAATCCATCTTTTTATCTTTTTTTCATCACATCACCTCTCTACTTTTCTGCACATCTTTTCATAAAAAGACAAAAAGTACACTTTTTTAAGACAACCCAAACCAACCTAAATTTAAAAAAATCTATCTAATCTTCCTAAACACGCAAATAAACTACCCTACTAAAATACTCAAACCACATAAAAACTTCAAAAAAAAAAAAAAAAAAAAATACTTTCCAAACATTCACATAATTTTCCTTGAAAAAATGTTTTGGAGCACTAAAAAGAGAGCATTAAGAAGAGCACTAATGATGTAATAGTGGGCTCCGCTCACTTTTTATACCTTATTTTTATTTTTTTATTTTTTGTCATTCTCAATACATTAACACTATTAATGGTGCATTTTTTAGTGAACTAAATCATTGTTGTTTTCCTTGGGTCACATGACGTATGACGTAGATTATGACTGCATTTTGAAGCGAAGTCCAAATTTCTCAGATTTGAAAAGCAAAATCGCGAAAGAGTGGATTAAGCAGCGCAGTCCGGTGAGGGAATTGTTGTTGATCGATGCTTGGAAGAGAAATGCAAAAGGCGTTGAGAGCCTACGGGGCAGTGCTGAGGCTGGTGAAGCGACTCCCTAAGGACACAAGGCCTTACTACGCCAAGTACGCCCGAGAGAACTTCGTCAACTACCGAGACTTCGACACCTCTGACCCCAATTCTCTCCAAGAACTCTTCAACAGGACTTACACTCATTCCCTCTGGGTCCTCCACAAGGTCCTCTCTCTCTTTCTCTCACATTCAATATTTACGCACACACATACCCATGTATATGTATCGGTTTGCTCTGTTGATGTATATAACAATTGGGTTTTTGTGGGATTCCAGTATTCTGTAGATGAAGCGGCGGCGGACAAGCTGAAGGAGATATGTTGCGGTTGATTATTGCGCGTGCCCACCAAATGTTTGGTGTTATTCCTCAAAGAGGCTAGTTCTGAATTTCTCATCTTTTTTTTTCTTCTTCTTGTTTCTGCAATTTTGATCTTGATGAATTGGCCTGCGGCACGTACTTTGCGTATTGGGTAGTGTTTGTTTTTGTTTTGTTTTTTTATAGGTTTATACTTTTGAAACGGCTCCCAAATACCCAACAATGTAGCTAATAGAGTCCGTTGATGTTCTTGGGGATAATTTGCCTTTATTTACATTGAATGTGTTTTTGTTTGCCTTGATTTCTATGTTTTTGTTCCACAATTATCTTAGTGAATTGGGAGTCATGGGATCAGTGGTTAAAACTCCTCCACCTATCAACCTTGAGATTGTGGGTTCGGGCATTAGGCCATTACTTGGTGCAAATAATGTGTTTTTTAATTATCTTAATAAATAGGGATAGATTGGCTATGAGTTTTTGTTTTTTTTACCTGGAAGGTTGCTCTGCATCACTACATGCAGATTAAGGGTGAAATAATAATTGGAGAAAGTGAGAGAAGATAGAGATGAGCGAATAGAGAGAGAGAGAGAGGCACAATTGTTTCTATAAATTGTATATATCAATTACACAAAGAAGGCACTCTATTTATAGAGGATGCCTTGGATGCCTTGGATGATTGCCCACCGAAAGGTGCTACACTATGAACAATTAAATAATGATACACTAACATAATGCTACACTATGAACAATTAAATAATGATACACTAGCATAACGCTATACTACACTAACAAACACAATGATGATACACTAATATACACTAACAAAGGGAATCAATCAGATATGTCACTCATATACATCCTGCATTGTCATCAATTCAAGTTTCTGAGACTGTATTGCTGTTCAAAACAACTAATGGTAACTTACTTCTCAAATTGGGTCTTTCATACATTTTTACCCTGTTTCAAGTGCAACGTTCAAAACAATTTTCACCATTTTGGAGGCATAGTTTGGTAACTGTGAAGCAAACACTGAAACTTGTTTGATTACAAAGCATTTAATTTTAATTTTTTGGGGAGCATACACAGAAATTGAAGTTTGCTCTTTTGTTCATATGTCCAGGTTCAAAAGAAAAGTGATCAATTTGTTTTAAGTATTAATAATAATTCTTCTCGGAAGTGCAACAAATATTAACTATTCAACTAGAATATCGCAACTTGGATATAGGCCAATGGTTATCAAGTGATTTTTGTGAAATGAAAAGATTGCCTTTTATAGAGTGTAGGCGGTATTCATGCTTTCTTACCATCAAACTTCTCATTGATGCCTTCTTAGTTGAACACAGGCTATAAGTTCTGAGTTCCAACCTTTGCCAAACACAAGCTATAGTCCTTGAAGCGGGGGTCATTAGAGATTGTGTAGAGGAGTGTGACTTGCTTTATTGCTTGACACTTCATCACCAAAAATATATTTTAAAGAAGGTGGAGTTCAAAGTTTTAGTGATGTTGTAAACAAGCCTATGAAAAGTTATTAATAAAAAATAACATATCCACAAATGTGTCCCACAACGTCTAGAATCAAGATTAGTTGGATGCTAAAGTAATTCAAATGCTTGACAAGAAAAAATATTTCTATCAAAACATTAGGCATCCAATATGGAGGTTTTTATTTTATTTTCAGGCCATGCCTATAGAGGAGTTAGAAAGTTTTATCCCACGTTAATCAGAATTAAGTCTAGTTAGAACTAATATAATTTAAGTCTAACTGCACCTGCATGCAATTGGAACTAAGTTTAGTTGGATGTTTTTTTTTCTTTTTTTTTTCTTCTTTTGATTACTTGGGTTACTTGCTGCCTTGATATGTTTATGCATTTTTGTGGACAAAAGTATGTGACATTTAACTCATAAAAAAATGACATCTATTTTGAAGAGTCTAGTCAAAGTACTAAGGAAGAAAGAATACTTATTTTTGCATTTGTCAAATGATAAAACTAATGATTCGCCTCTTAAGCAAGCCACTTTGGAAATATTGACTTCAGAATATGGTTCTTAGGAATTATAGTTTGCACCTTGCACTGTCAAAAGCTATGGTTAAGTTTTCCTACATTTCGCATTAGTGTACCCAATAATCGTTTTGTCTGTATCCAAATTTTAATTTTGTTGTTGTATGGCTGATGTTGTTGCTCTTCCAATAAGACCCATTAGAATTTTTAGAACAAATCAGACCTTTTTATTGAATCAAAAAACCTTTCAATTTGAGTGAACATGCTTTTAGTTTGTGTTTTCTCCTTTAGGTGTCATCAGTTTAGAAGTTTTCCAATTTCCAAATTATCATAGTATGTGAAATTTCAAATGTTTAGGAAATTGCTATTGGTTCTTTTTGGCATGATCTCAAGCATGTGGTGCAGTCTATTTTGGGCTTACACCATTCAGGGGCTCTTGATAGGAGTGAGTTGCTTATTCATCATTCATCGAGTTCTTATTAGAATCTAAATTGAGGTGATTATTAGCTTACTTTATTAGATATGTGTTGATTCTTTTATTGGATGATGTTTCCTGGCACCTCACTAATCTTTTTGCTTAATAGAATGTTTTTATCCTTCAGCATTTAAATGTCTCATCTGGATTTGATTGCTTGGCATTGAAGTCTTGGCCAAGTTGACAATGTGTCTGTATATCAACCAAGTTTTGAATTTTTCTTTGTCAATTAAGTTCAAAGACTCCCTTTGACGCAAACTTGATTGTCACCAATATCACTTTATTTCACTTGCGCATTTCACACACTATTTTCCTTTCCCTTTTTAATTTTACTCAAAATTTATGACCCAAACAAACACAGTTCCAAACACAGTGTTAGTCTATTTTTAGTGCACACTAACACTCTGTTGGAAGTTTCCCAGCACAAGTCCAAGTATTTCCTAACACAACTGGGAACTTCCATAAGAATATGATTCTCTTTGAAGAGATACTTTTCTTCCTGTATTGCTTTCCTCCCCTCTATGGATGCAGCCATGCCACGTGGCCATTGTTGGCCATGTCCAATCAAAAATGGACAGTGCGGCTGACTTGGGTGCCACACTTATTCCTGTCATATTTTTCCCTTTGATTTGGATTATAGATTTGTAGAATTTATGCATTAATTTGTGCAAGTAGATGTTGTATTTTTATCATTTTATAATTATTTTGTGTTTATATATATATATATATATATATATATTTTTTGCAATTCTCTTTATATATATATATACTAGCGGTCGGGCACACGCGATGCGTTTGCAAATTCAAAAAATCGTTTAGAATTATAATATGAATTTGATATTATTTTTTCTAATAATATACATGTAAATCATATGAATAATTATGTATAATGAAAAATGCAATATTAACATATTTGATAAATGAAATCTATGCACATTAAAATATGTACACATCTTTTAAAAAATGCAATATTTACTAATCTTAACTAAAAAAACTGTACAATGAAACTTCATATAAAATCTAAATTTGATAACATGAGACCGGAGATCCTGCAAATCTTGCCCAAAATATATATATATATATATAAGATATATGTAAAAATTAGTTTGCTAATAATAAACATTGATTAAATTAAAATTTTATGTTTTTAAAGTGAGCCATAATTATACATATGCATATTTTAACAGATAGACTACAATAATAACATTGGTTTTATATTTTGTTTATTATGTATAAAGACACAAAAAGTAATTATTTTATTAATTTTTTATAAACAAAATTAAAAAATTAAAAACTTAAATATTGACATAGATTGACATAGTCCATATCAAATGTCACGTTCAATAATCTCTTCAAATTGTTTTGATGCAATTTTTGTTATAGATCTATGACAACATTAAATTACAAAAAATAAAATAGAATTTACAAAAAATGAAGTACGTAAATAGGTGTCGATAGAGAACAATCCGAAAAGTTTATTCTGAACAACACAAAGTTATAAAGCAACCTGCAAAAAATATAAACGAAGGAAAATAATAGTCAATTTTTTTCTCCAAGAAATCTATTAACATAATTTTTTCTCTTTTACTTTTTAATGAAGAAAATAAAAAGTGTAAGTAATAATGGTGCACACAAAATAACAAAACAGAAACCCATATTCTTGGAACATTTGCAGTAAAAAAGATTTGATATAATTATAATATGAAATTCATATTTTTTTTAAACAAACACAAAAGTAAACAAACAAATCATTTTTTTTTTTTTGGTAAAAACAAACAAAAGCTTGAAAAAGTGAAACATGAAAAACCCCAAACTATTTAAGTCTAAGTGGGTGTTTGGGAAGTGAGTTTTTTTGTAGGTTTTTTTAGTTATAGAATATTATTGGAGAAAAAAAAATTTGTGTTTAGGAAGATAGTTAGGTTTTTTTGTGGTTGGATGTGATGTTTGTAAGAGAAAAAGTGAAATAATTATAGAATTTGATGTGATATTTTGTTTGGATTGATTTTTTTTTGATTTTGTAACCAATTTGTCTTTTAGTGAAAAAAAAAAAAAAAAAAAAACCACAAACCAAACTTCCCAAAAGTCTAAGTCTAAACAATTAAAGTTGATAAGGCAAAAAAATGGAAGATACTCATTTTATATAATTTTTTTAAGAGCAATGAATTTTATTTTAAATAAAAATCATAGAAGAACACATACACAAAATTAAGCAATCAAACAACTTAATTTTTTACCTATATTTTAAATATATTTTTTTATCCTTTTAAATTTAGAAACCGCAAACAACTTTAAACTTTTTTATTTTCTTCAAAATTGGGAATTTTTTTATTTTTTATTTTATTTATTTTTCATATTGGGCAAAATCAAATCCTTCAAGTTCCAGACACGTCCATCCATGCTCTCAACATTCGAATATTATTACAAACGGTTAAAACGCTAATTATATTAACAAATAAATCAAACCAATAATTTAAAAAAAATATTATGAACACTGATTGTATTAACAAATAAATCAAACTAATAATTTTTTTTTCTATAAATTGTTTTATAGAAAGTATGATTACACAAAAAATTATGAACACTGATTGTATTAACAAATAAATCAAACTAATAATTTTTTTTTTCTATAAAAAAAAAAAAAAAAAAATCCAAGACACTCATTTTATATATTTTTTTTAAGGGCACTGAATTTTATTTTAAATAACAAATACACAAAATTAAGTAAGCAAACAAACCAAATTTTAAAATACTGAATTTATACACACACAAAAAAAAAGCTTAAAAAAGTGAAATGAGAAAAAATCCCAAACTGTTTAAGAACATTGAATTATTGAAGAACATTGAATTTTTT